AGCATGCTGAAGTCGATGAAAAGCCTCCATTTGGCTCCACTGAGCTTTGAATTAAGTCCACAGACTATTTGATAAACTAAAAATGTTACAGCAAGCCTTTGGTATTAGCTACTGCCTGATGACAATAGATTCTGATGGGATTAGATGAGTACATTCTATAAAAAAGATTTGCTACAAGTAGAAAGAACAAAATGCTTTTTTGATTTTCTTTGTTGTTTGTTACTATTAATTTGATGTGGGATTGGGAAGCATTTCTACAAATTACAGTTGTTTCCCTATTGTGTATTTTTTGACAAGATTTAACTTATGATGAAACTTGTTGCCGCGTATAGTAAAAAGCAGTCACTGCCTCTGGGGTAGAAAAGGGTCACCACCTCCATTGTATATCCAGTATCAGTCTCTTGGAACTGGAGAGAGGCATGAAATACTTGAAAGTGCAGAAATGCAATTGCTTTTGTTTTCATTATGAATTGGGTTTTTTTTTTTTCAGAACACAAAGTGGCAGTGACATCGAAACACTTATTAGATAAAATTGTCTAGAACGTCTTTTGATCAGTTTTCTGTTTAAAGTATGTGTGTGATATATATAGCTTGGAACTGGTGTATACCTAAACTATACATATAACTACATTTGGCGTGTTCTGTCAATTGTGCTTGGCAATACCTCTTTGTAGCGATACGTAAGTATACAGCCAGATCTTCCTATCTCTATGTAAACACATAGGGAAGCTAGGTCAGAGGAATCAGATGACCTGCCAGAGGCCACAGCAGAAGAACTGAGGGGAAAAAAGGAGTCATTTTCTATTCCAGTATGTATTGAAGCGCAGCCACAGAGCATAGGCTGCTGCTTCCGTAGGTGGCCGCGGTGCAGACATGCATGCACATGGTCGGTGGGCTCCCAGCCCTCCCTGCCCTGCAGGGTCTTTCGGGGAATTTGCCACATCCGTTCAGTTCATTGGGCAGGCAATGTTGGTTTTCTTTCCAAAGAATCCATAAGAAGGGGGGTGAAGTTGCCAGGAAGCATCAGCAGACCCCTGCTTTGGCTGTGGCGAGACTTGTGGTTATTCCTTCCAGCGGTGAGCGTCTGGATTCGTGGTCCGTTTGCCTTGCGCGGGCAGATCTGGCTCTGGCTGATAGCGGTGGTCATGTGTTGTGGAGCGCAGCTGTCGCAGCAAGGCCCAGCTCTGACACGTGCTTTGCGAGATGCCCTTGGCAGCTCCATCGCTGTGCCCACGCTGCTCTGCAAGTGCAAACTCAGAGCGCCTGGCTGCCCCTGCGCCCCACGGAGGGGCCTGCCTGCCTGCAGCTGCCAGTCCAGCCCTACCTGCCCAACTGCGAAGCCACTGAGTCTGCACAGGCTCCTGCTTTCTGGTCTCTCCTTAGTCCATACCTGCAAAATCATTTTGCGCCTGCCCCGCAAGTCTTGAGATGGGGAGGCTTTGCAATCACAGCACCTCTCTTCCAGACCGTTGCTGGTGTACAAGTGAATCCAAGGTGCATTAAATAGTCAGCAAACCTGAAACTCGTTAGATGCAAAATGCTCTCACGTTCACTGGAGTAAAGAAAATTAAGTAAATAACACACACAGGAGAAGACATTTTTGTTAGCTTCTTGCATTAAGAACTAAGAACGCTGCTGCTATACCCAGTAGAGGGGTTTGAGGGGTTTTCAGTTCCTGAGACTTCACTGCGTCCTTCTAAAATGCTGGTGTTAATGACTGACTCAGGGTCGATTCCACTGCAAAATAACCTGAGCCCTCTGAGCCATGCAAAGCCCCAGAAGTTTACCAGTGCCAATCAGGTGCAGCTAACCAAATCACAGGGAAGGCTTCCCCCTCAAGATTAAGTGGAGTCCGGCAAGCAGCATAGGCCCCAAGGAAAAAAAGAATCGATGTGCTTACAGCCTTGAGCTGTGAAGCTGCCTACTAAGTGAACAGCTCATGCAGCGTTAAGTCCCTTCTTTCTGTGTTGCAGCAGTCCTAATTTTGGGGTTCTTTGATCCACCTATTCATAGCTGTGAAGCGAGCAGAATTTAATCAGGCTCTGAAAGGGGATGGTTGATTCCAATACTGGCCTCCAAAAAAGAGCTGTCAATCAAGGATGAGCTTTAATCCCTTCAACTTGCAGCTCCTTTAAACTTCTTCTGCAGTTGAGTGGTCTTTGGTCAGCTGTGGAAGAGCCAGGCACCTACAAAAGGCACTGGGGGCCCTTGGGCATGCATGGAGGAGTCCCTTGGGGTTACTCCCCTTCCCTCTGTGAACAGGCAGCACGAAATGTCTAATCAAGTTGGCGTTTCCTACCCACATGAGAGGAGAGATTTCCTCTTTGATAAGGAGCAGCTTTCATAAGTGCAGATCCCAAAAGGCCCGCTGAGCTTTTGTGAGCAAGCAGGCAAGTGAATTTTGGATTCATTTGGATTAAGCCTTTCCTTATTGTAGTTGGAATGGGAACGGTGTGGACAAGGGTTACTTTCCATACCTAATTTCAAGTTATTTAACTGCTGATGTCAGATAAAATAGTGAATGACTGGCAGAATGATAGGATATGGTTTAATTTCAGATTTACTATCTGCCAACACATGCCATTCAATCAGACAAACACAGGATTTGAACTGTCATCACAATATCTTATGCATACTTAAAAGTAGAGCACTGTTTCACACACCAAGAAGAAATTGAACAGGTTTATATATAGAATATATACAGTCAGGATGCTAGAAACATTTGGAATAGTCTGCCATTTCTAGGGAGATTCCCTATCTTTAAATGAAGGAATTCTGTTAGGAGCGGTAAGGATTCTCAGGATTGCAGAAGTTTTATCATTGTTAGCTGCACAGAATAAATAAAAATAAAGAGAACACCCTGTAAAGTTGAAATGCCTACAATGAGGAAAATGCCCATAGCGTTTACAGCAGAGAATGTAAGACCCCTCTAGAGGGTAAGACAACTCAGAATGTGTCTGCGTTTCGATATAACTCCTTCTGTGGTTCATAAGTTTATGCCCTTGCTGTTTTGTCTGCGCTAGTTCACATACTGTGCCTATCACCCTAAGGCTTGAATATCTGCTCCGCTTAGGAGGCTGAGATAGAAGATGACAATCTAGAATAGCACGAGCACTATTCTAAACCAGCTTTTACAGTAAATATAACCTAAGCATTCACAGTCTAAAGCTTCCATTCTGCAAGCATGCCACTTTACCTAGGTGGAAACCCTCATATAAGTGAAATGTGGCTGTCTAAATTCTTGCCAGGCTGGTGCTTTATGTTATAAATATGTGGGTGCACAAAGGAGTACGCCTTTTTGGCCCACATACTTAACCAGTATTTGGGGTCATAGCAGATTATTTCCCTTGCGAAGAGGAATTGATGGCACAGTGGAACGTTTTTTTTAGGTCTAGCCTGGTTTGTTTGTGACGGATGCGCAGAACGGCTTGTTTCCCTCAACGTGACACGAACAACTGCAGCAGGCAGTTTTCTTGCTCAGAAACGTGCTGCTTTGCTTCCGCAGCAAGCGCCGTTCCCGCAGAGCTCTGCCCTTCTGCTGCTTCTCGGTTCTGCTCACAAGCCTCTTCCTTCCTTAACACCCTCGTGACCCATACCTGCACTCTTAGATTTCCTGCCTTTTTGCTTTTTCAGATTGTGTAGTTGGCTTTGACTCAAGAGATGTCCTTGTTAGCAACCGTTAGCGTTATCCAGGATAACTGATTATTTTGCATGCTCTCGTTCCTTTTGCTGTTCCATAGGGCTGCTCCAAAACGAGCCCTAAAAGGCTGACTTGAGCTCTCCAGCCTGATTGTAACTCTGAAGCTAAGACTTGTACATTGCTTCGAAGAACAACTCTAGCAGAAGGGCAGTGTTTTCTAGTGAACACACAGGAAAGAAGGGGTTTTTTTTGAGAACGTTCCTCCTGCAGATCTCCTTGTTGTGGGGGAGGCTACTGCTCTCTGTAGTAAATGCAAAGGCATTCTTCAGCTCTGCTACAACACAGCAGCGTATTGCCTATGGAGACCTGAGTATGGCATAATGCCAGCCAAGATGCTGAATTTGCTATTGCTTGGGCTTCATCCCTTTCTGGTTAAGCTCTCGTGCGCGTTGGAGAAAAACTTGATTGTCACGTTGCGGATGCCTCTGCCGTGGGAGGGTCTGCTCCGCAGCTCCCTGCTGAAACTGCGTTTTGGCTGCAGAAGCATTTTGTGCTGGCCTATGCAAATAGACAAAACAAAGAAATCGCAAGGCTAGAGAGAAGTATGGTGGCTGTTTTTCAGTCTTAAAGGCAGCTTTGGAATTCTGTTTCTTTGTGTTTTGTTTGGTTTTTTGGCTCTTTTAGAAAAGCCTTTCACATACAATGACGTCCCAAGCAATTTATTTGAAATCGTTGGTGGGTGGCGCATACATTATGGGTTGTGGTTTCATTGATATGCTCAGCCTCACTGAGTGGATGGCATATTAAATGTTTTATTTACCCTGTGTGCTACCTGTCATCTAATCAGCTTTTGTTTTTGCTGTGTTTCTGGTTGTATTATAGCAAGAGTAAGTGGTTTCATGTAAATTAAAACCGCATGAAACCTTTTAAAGCCATTTTGAAATACTAAACGGTTTTGCAAATAGGTTTGTCGGACAAGGATTGGAAAAAGAGCTCTTTGCCTACCCATTTACACTTTTGTATGCTTATTAGAAGCCCCCCCATGTGACTCTCTCGTCAAACATCACATCCAGGTACTCATCTAGAATGCCAAGAGTTGTTTACACTGTGCTCAAGAGTGGTTTGCATAAACAGGAGGCAGTTAACAAAGAATACGGTTGTGAGCTGTGATTGCAAATGCTGTTTTGTAAATTACAACCCAGATACACAATAAAGTCAAAAAATGGCTTCCCATGATGTTTTCCTACTTGCTTGGAGTGTGCAACAGTGTTGGGTTTAAAATTTGCTTGCTATTATTAAAAATTATTGCTAATGTTTATTGTTGTGATCGTTTCACTGTGAATAATTTTGTTTCTTACAGGTGGATCGTATCATCTTCTGCGTCTTTTTGGAGGTTGACTACAAAATTTTCAAGAAGAAAATGAGCGAGTTTTTCCCTGTAGGTAGGTATAGTCATCAAGTGCCATCCGCCTTTAATAAATTGTGTGGCAGAAAGACATCAGTTGGCATCCTTTTTTCTTTCCACGCCTAAGCCAAATATTAAAACGTGAACTTTCTCTAAAGATCACCTGACCCTGGAAAAACACATGCATTTAAAATATGCGAACCGATAAAACTACTAATGATCCTCTTTACAAAATCAAGGCCTACTTTTGTACGCTGAGTAGAGCTAGCGTGCTCAGTCTCTGTTGCACCTCTGTCTGTTGCATCTGCCTCCTTAAGCCTGGTGTGTGGCACTGTTTCTCTATTGACTATGGGAAGAAAATGATTTGCGCTAATGTGTGTAGCTCCTAGTCTCTACAGCTTCTCCATGCACTCTGTGCATTCTTTTCTCCTTCATTAATGATGCTGGTAGGATTTCTTTGGGTCTGAAAAGATACCGCAGGGGTTAGAACCCAACTGTGTCTGAATGAGAACTTTAAACTTGAGCTGTCCCTGTACAAGCATGAATCAGAGGAAAGACGGCTCTCGCCGGAGCACTTGGGAAATGTTACCCGTTCATCTTCTGTTTTGCACAGGAGGTTACTTCTTGGAATGTAAGAAAACCTGGTAGATAGTAAATTTGTTCACCCCCCACTCCATACCTGAGATTTATTTTTATTGCATTTATCATTAGAAATGTGTATGTTCATTTTTTCTTGTTTATGAACCCTCACCCTCTCCTCCTGTTTTATGTTGCATTCTGTGACATCAGTGGTACTTTCTGTGATAGGATTTGGATTTTAGTGTTTTCTTTTGTCACCCATTTCTAAAATCCCAGTCACCTGAGTACTCCCCACACCGTCTGTCTCTCTGGTAGAAAGGGCTATGGAGTGAGTAGGAAGCAGACCTTTGATGTGTTGTGAGAGTCTCAGGTAATTCTGCGGGACCATGTTGTCACAGTGGCCACAGTGTATTTTCCTTCATCTTGCCTGTCACTACAGATATTGCGGTGTTTCTGTCTCGTCTCACTAGAACAAAGCTTTTTGTAGACAACTTTATAATCTCCAGTTTGCAACGCTCAGCAACTGAAACGTTCAAGACCCGTTGAATAATTGAAATGCGTCCAACCACTTCATGATATTTTGGTCTGGAGCACACTGAACATGCATTTCAAAGGCTGCATTCGTGTCTCATCCATTCATTGCATCACTTTTTGGCAAGGCACCACAGCACATAGGACAAAGTGGTGGTACTCGGCGTTCTGTTGCTGACTCTGCCCCTGCCCTTCAGGTTAAGGGAGAGTAATCTGCTATGTCAGTTTGTCAACAAATTAGAGTTTTAATACTCATACTCATTGTCAAGGATTTTGAAATCACAGATGAAAGCTTGGTATTGTTATTCTAAGCGTAAAGCCCACTTGGGTTTGAATCCTGAAAGACTAAAAGGTGCTTTGGAACTGAAGCATGGCAAGCCCAAAGGGGAAAAGAGAGGAAGAGGGGAAATCTGTCTCTTTTTTGGCTTGTCAAAACCTGGCATTGTTGAAGTGCTGTCTACAAGGCACCTGTGTGGCTGGTTATCATGGTGTATAAAGGCTTTTAGTTGCAATATGCTACAATCGTATACATGATGGGTTGTACCACAGTTTTAAAAGTATGTTTATTCTCATCTGTGGGAAGTTTTTACAGATTTTTTGCATGAAGTAAAACTAGCCATTTGTTACATGACCATAGAGAGCTGGTGGTAGTCGGCACCCTCTGAAGTGCAGCAGTGTTCAGCAGTTTGCAGGTGTGTGACTATGCGAGAAGCTGATCCAATATTTATGCAGGGAGCTTTCCAGACAGAGTGAGATTTTTTAATTCTCAGCATCCACAGTTAGATATAGATTTCTAAAAGATCTTAGGCCCATTTTCATAGGGTGCCAGCTGTGATTTTCTCATGACTAATGATTCTGAACACCAGTTTTGATATACCTTAATGCCGCTGGTTTCCAGAAGGACCTGAGCACCCACTGGCTGCAGAGCTGGAGCTTCAAAATGAGCCAGTTCAGCATCTAAAATTTTATCCCCAAGTCAGTGAAAAAATTGCTGTGGTTAGGTCAGTAGCCAGTGATTTGGGAGACCTGATTTTAAAGTCTTGTGCCACTACAGACATTTGCGTGGCCTGCGATGAGTTGCTTAGTTCTTTAACCTGTGAGGAGAGAAGGGGAGATGGGAAAGACAGATATGTACTCCCCAAATGTTTCTCTGTTAATGTTCCTGGAGAAGGAATCAGAATTCAGGTCTCTCTCTCCTGGAGGAGCACCCTGACTATTATTCCACTACTATGTTAGTACTTTTGGCCTTCTGAATTAGCTTTCTTTGGCCCCCTGAATTGGCACTTTTCTGCAGAGTACCATCACTTCAACAGAAAGGGCCGAGGTTGGCCCCACACTAAATTGCCTTGGCCCAATGGCTCAAACGCGAGCTCCTGGCAGCGTGAATTTGAACATCTGCAGATGAATAAAGACCTCCATTATCCTGGAAGTGCCCTCACCTGGGACCTTAATGGGGATCCCTGCATGACTCTCGTGTCTGCCGTTTGTTCGTTCCTCCTGCTGTTTTGTGAATTGCCATCTGCATTTATCTCCTATGTAACAGACTCTGACTAGTTCTCTGCAGGCTCTCCTACTATAAGGATGTTTCATATCTCTGCAAGACTGATTTCTTGCACAAAGGACTTGGTCAACGTGGTTCTCAGTCAAGGAATTAGCACCAGTCTCTGTCTCTGGCAATCACTTCCTGATATTTAGATTCTGGAAGGAGTTTCTAAAATTCTGCAGCCTTTTTTTGTTTTGTTTTGTTAGTGAATCTATTCATGTAGTTAAATGAAAGTCTTTAAGGAGAGGTTTACTGTGAATTTGAATTGATAGGACGCTCACTGGACATTCACAGGAGAGAGTAACACTGGGATGTTTCTTTAAGCTTAGAGAAAAAACGCTGAGACATTTTTAAATATGCATCTCGCATTCAGAAGCATCATGAAATATATCTACTTTAACAGATGTGGACAAAAATGCTTAGAAACAAGAATATATTCATGCGGTTATATACATAAATAGTTATTACTTCAAACCTGGTGCATTAATAAATCCAAAAAGACATCCAAGTGCTTGAGCTAGTGGAGGGATAATGAAATGAAGCTAGAGTTACACCTCAGTGCATTAGAGTAAGTGGAATATAGATATAGGGAAATAGTTCCATTACTTGAACATATTATTAAACCTATTTTGCAAGTGGAATGCCAAAGAAATTAGCTGTGTAATAGTACTGATATTAAGACAACTGCCAAGAGCCTTGTCATTTGCAAACTTTAAATATATAGGGGAAGAGGCAGACTTCTAAAGTTATTTCATAGCGTAAGAGTGTAGCATAGTTGTTCGGTAACGGAGCAGTTGTCACAGTCTCAGCGTTTCTGATTTAGCCTCAGTAATCCCTAGTCTGCACCGAACCTGAGCCAAAGCCATCGCACTCAGTGGGGGAACGCCACGTCAGTTTTGCCTCCGTCACAGAAACCGTCCTTGCGGTGGTCCAGAAAGCACTGCCCTGGAGGGGAGAAATCTCTGTTGAACCCTTGGGGTTTTGCTGAGAAGTTCTTGTATGTCCTGATAGAAAAGAGCAAGGGAGGGAGACTCTGTTTCTGTAAAGCAGCCCGCTGCACTTACAAGGGTCACTCACATGTTGGGTGAGAAAAACAGTGGTTTTTTTTTTTACTTTTAAACAATTGCATCCTGTCTCCAACTGGAATGAAATGGCCCAGATATTCTCCCTTCAACTATATTGTGAAATTATTTCCCTGGTTAATCCAAAAGAATGTCTTGCTACATATCTTTCAGGCAAAGAAAATATCCTTACCTGTAATTCTGGCTCAGATGTGCAGCTCACATCGTTGAATTCATTGCTAGTAGTATTTTGAGTAAGCTTACTGGGAAAAGAGCCGATATTTGTATCTTCTTCTTTTTTTTCTTTTTGGAGAATTCATTGTTTCTTCTAATAGAATTCAGCATGGAGTCTAGATTCTAGGCAGTATTTTTATTGCTAAATATATATTTATAAGACCTATCAGGAAATGGCATAAAAACAGTCTTCCTTGAAAAGCTAGATTTAACATCTACTTTACAGTGATACTTACTTCTAGGATGCTATTTGTATGAGTAAAATTAAGCGCATTTGTAAACAGTTGCCAGCTGGAGGCAAAGATACCATGTTTTTTTCCTTTATACTTTGTATACCTAACTACTTAATATCTCGGATAGATAACCTTGCAGGAACCTTTGGGAAATGGCTTATTTTTCATGGTGACTGTGGTATATTATGAAAGGTTTATCTTCAATTGTAATGCTTGAAGTATTTCTAAATCTACCACCTGTTATCAGAGGATTGGAGCAGGGAATCATTTTTCTGAAAATGCTCTTTAGGCAAAAACAGTGTCATAAAGGTTGCATACCTTGAAGCTTCAGTATTCTAGGTTATATTACATTCTTACTGGTTTAAACAGTAACAAAATTACTTCACTAAAGCATCATTAAATTGTTAGAGAGAGGAGAGGTTTGTACTTTATTAGACCAATTGATAGATGGAAGATGCAAGCTTTTAGACTCAGTGTCCTTTCAGAGCTAAATGAAAGGATGCTGAGCCCAAAAGCTTTTTTTTTTTTTTAGCCATATCAGTTGGTGTTAAGAAAAATGGAGAGAGAGAGTGCACGCGTGAGAGAGAAATTGCTTCTTCCTACAAAACTTTTTCTCTCCTCTATCTTCAGGTTATGACATTTAGTATATTTTCTGCTTTTATTCTGGTTGACAAAAACGTTTTCCTCCCTCTGGAAATCACATGGGTATCAGAACTGCTCTCTTACTATATTAATACTGCTATTGCTTCAGGAGGATGCACAACTTCCTACTTGTGCACAAATGTGCAAATGGATTACAATTGCGGAGGAAATTCAATGCTAAGAGACCTACTAGACTTGGAATCAAATTTGCAAC